GTGTTTCATCTGAATTAAAAACATTGTAGCTAGTTAGGTAAAGGAATGTGAGATGAGAAGAGAATGACACTATCACGGGCACAAAGAAGAGAATACAGTATTCTTGAGGTTATGGAGTAATTGTCATTTGAGGAGAAATATTGACTTATTGAAAAGAATACAGCTTACAGAGAGTTTTAACTGACTGACAAAAAGATTTGACTTTTCCATATTTTGTAGACTTTGAGGAAAAGATAGCAAAGAAAAACTAAATTTATAAAACCACACAGATAAGCAGACATATTGCTTCTCCAATAATAAAGAAACAGAGAGAGAGAAGAGAAAAAGGAAGAAAAGAAAGAAGTAAGGAAGAAAGGAGGAGGATAGGAGGAAGAAAGAGAGTCTAGTAACATAGCCCAGTTAGAGTAGTGTGTGTGTGTGTGTGTGTGTGTGTGCAGTGTCGTAAGTTCAAAACAATGAAACATTGCAAGACTACACAGTATATTATTTTCATTTGCTAAAAACAAATATTTACAGGTATTTTATCCTTGTTTAAATTCACTTCGTTAATAGAGAATAATTTTTTAATTTACATATGTATTTTAATAAAATAATATTTTCATTATGTGCTTTGTTTCTGGTCATTATAACTATTTCATGATTATTAGTTAATACAATTTTGCTATACTGAGGAATGATCTGATGCTATTATCAAATACGCTAATTATATTACTCAAATAGCAAAGGTAAATGTGATGTAGGGAAATACAATTTGCTTTATAGTTTGCAATTATTTCTTTTGTATTCATTTTGTTCACTAGCAAACATCTCAAGATGTCCCTTCAGAATTTGAGGAGAATATTGGTAATTGGATTCATGGTAACCTTCCAAAAACTGACTTAAGGTAAAATATTAATTTATCTCTAAGTAACTGAAGCTCTAAAGTTGCCTTTTGATGACTTCTACTTTAGATTTTTTCAAAAACATATTTTTGATTTTTTATTACTCTCCAAAGCTTGTATCTCAAATATGCACTAAACACACACATGAAGTATTTCATTCATTTTATTAAGAAGCAAGCATTGGTCATAATGCTTTTTACTTTTAACAACAAATCAATTTCTATCAGCTTATATTCACTTAAAAGGTAAAATAAAATGATATAAAGAATCAAAAATTGTAGCTTGGTAATGTTTCTATTTTTATTCAGTGAACCATGTGAGTACTGCTCCTTTAATATCAGGTGCTTTATATTCATCTGGTGGTGCTAGTGGTAAAGAACCTCCCTTCCAAAGCAGAAGCCATAAGACACATGGATTCGATTAGGGGGTCAGGAAGAGCCCCTGGAAGCGGGCATGGTAATCCTCTCCTGTATTCTTACCTGGAAAGTCCCATGGACAGGACTGGAGGAACCTGGTGGGCTACAGTGCATAGGTTCGCACAGGGTGGGACACGACTGAAGCGACTTAATATTAGTTCCACCTTATATCCATCCTTTGCCACTTTGGCCATCCCTGTTACCAAAACCTAAGTCCAGTTCTTATCATATTTGATTACACTATGATTAGTGGTCTATCGTCTAAGTCATCTCCTTACTCTCCAGATCTCCCTACACCACCCAACTTGAACCAAAAAACAAGTATTTTTGCAATTTCACTTCTTTATAGTACTTCCTTGACCAAAAATTAGAGGGTTACTCCATAAACAACAAACTTTTAAACCCAAGTCCCAAACTTTTCATTTTAAATTGTTTCCAGATTTATTGACGTATGATCAGCATACAATGCATACACTTAAGAAATACAACATACAGCATGGTGATTTAATGCACATATATACTGTGAAATGATTATCACAATAGGGTTAGTTTAACACTCCTACCACCTCATGTAATTGTCACTGTTTTGTGTGGGGAAGCCAGTTAAGATTTACTCTTATAGCAACTCTCAAGTATGTGACAGTATTATTAACTATAGCCATTAACTATAGCATTAAATCCCGGAACTTATTCATCTTGTAAGTGGAAGTGGGTAGCCTTTGAACAGCATTTCCCTATTTGCTCCAGCTCCCAGTCCCTGGAAACCATCACTCTCTCCTCTCTTTATGACTTCTGCTCTTTTAGATTCTGCATATAAGTGAGATCATGCAATATTTATCTTTCTCGGTCTAGACCCTTCTTGTGCTGTAATCTGTGTACTTCCCAAATATACTTAGCTTGTATATAAACTCTGCTCCTGCTACACCGATCTACATGTACACGTCCAGGATACATGTGGTTGAATCTTGACTCAGAGATTTAACTAAAGTCACTGCATCCTTCTAGTTTGCCTTTCTCTTTAATGTTTTATTGAATTTTATGCATTCTTCATGTCCAGTGTGCCCCACCTTCTGCATAATTCTTTGATGAATGAAGCTAGCCCAGGAAATCTGAAGCTCTTTTAAACTGTTCTTGAATATCTTTAATATCACTACCTTTTATTTTTCCTTTCTCTATACTCCCTCCTGCGGCTCAATCTGTCCCTCCGCCCCACCCCTACCCCCGGGCTACAATACTCAGAAAACCATAGATACCCCAGACACACACATTTTGAGACCACAGCTGAAGGGAAGGCTTTCTAAATCCATGAGTGGCCATTTTATATTTTTCCCTTTAATCATCTACTTTTTTCAAAGCACAATGAAATAACTTTCATATTCAAGTTATTCAATAAAATTCATTGTTTGAATGAATCCTCATTTCACTTGTAATCCTTTCCGTGTGCAATCTAAATTTTGAAGTCTTCTCTTCTCTACATAATTGTTCTATTTTCTATTAAATAAAAAATTAGGACTTTTTGTTTTAGTCTGACATGGTCAGAGCTTGATAATTGTCAGTCTGGTCTTTCCAACAAGAAAAAGTTGCACAAATTAAAAATCAGTGTCTATCCTAGAATCTAGTAGAAAACTGAGTTTGCAGGACAAACCACCCTAAAATCTGAAGAAATCGGAGAATCCAGAGTCACAATAGAGATCTGCTTACTAATGGGAGCCTCTGAAGTCATAAACTTTTACAAATACTCAAATTGTAACCGTGGCAAATTGCTAGAGGCTGAGTATGGATTTGTGTAAGAGTGAGAAGCTAGAAGGGGCTTTGGTCTTAGAGGGGCCCATACTTTTATGGGCTTTATCCACAGGAAATCTACCAGGTTCTCACTGTGAAAATCTGAAAAAGATCCCTTATTTGCTCTGGCAGTAGGGAGTGGAAGACCCTTGTGAAAGACACCCAGAGCCCTGACCATAACTGGGAAGGTCTTAATTCAAGGAGAATGGGCTACCATAGTCTTGTCCCAGAGTCTGAGAAGAAGGGCATTCCTCTCACTCAACCTCCCTGTGGTTTCCGTTTCTCACAAATTCAGGGCAGAGAAATTAAGATTTGTTTCATTTCCTGCTTTCCAAATCTCATGCAAAATGTTCCTTTCAGCCATACCTAACCTAGAACTTGGGCTTCCCTTATGGCTCAGCTGGTAAAGAATCTGCCTGCAATATGGGAGACGTGGGTTCGATCCCTGGGTTGGGAAGATCTCCTGGAGAAGGGAAAGGCTACCCACTCTGGTATTCCGGCCTGGAGAATTCCGTGAACTGGATAGTCCACGGGGTCGCAAATTGTCGGACACAACTGAGTGACTTCCACTTTCACTTTTCAATCTAGGACTATATAGGAAGGAGATTTCTTGAAAACTCTTCTCAGTTTAGCTAAATTTTCAAAATACAATCTGACAAAAGACGTTGTTGTTGCTGTTTGTCTGCCTCTTTGAGACCCCATGGACTGCTGCATACAAGGGCTGCCTATCTGTCACTGTCTCTCAGAGTTTGCCCAAGTTCATGTCCATTGAATCAGTGATGCCATCCAACCATCTCATCCTCTCTCGCTCTCTTCTCCTTTTGCCCTCAATGTATGTTTCATCAAAAAGCCAGGGCTAACAAGTTGAATTATGTCTCCTAAAAAGAAATTGTGAAGTGTAACCTGGGTACCTGTGAATGTGAGCTTGTTTAGAAAGAGGGTCTTCACAGATGTAACCCAGTTATGATGAAATTATACTGGGTTAGGGTGGACCTTAGATCCAATTGCTGATGTTCTTATTAGAAGACAGAGATTTAGAAGCACGCATGCATGCGTGCACACATAAGGAGAGAGGAAGGCCACTGATGACTGAGGCAAAGACTAGAATGACGAAGCAACAAGATAAGAAATGCTAAGACTTACCAAGAACCACCAGAAGCTAGGAAGAGCCAAAGAATAATTTTTCCTCAGAGCATTTATAGGGAGCATAACCCTATACATATTTTGATTTTAGACTTCTAGCTTTTAGAACTGTGATAACATAAATTTCTCTTATTTTAAGTAAAATGAAACAATTATCCAAAAAAATGTGTGGTACTGTTTCACAGCAGCCCTAGGAAACTAACACAATAGTATTATTTACACTGTGACACAAATACTCATCTATGGAGTTTGTCTTTACAAATTAGAGGGATTTAAATGCAGTAACACAGAAAATGGAAACAAAGAAGATGAATATATTTCACTTTTTTCCTAAATAAGCAATCTTTAAATTTTGGATTTGTTTCAATCATTCATGGTTATTTAATACTTGATGCCCTGGTTTATTAAAAGCCAAAGAGAAGAAGAGATAGAAAATGTGATATGTAAAGCAGATGGAAATTGTATCTAAGAAAACATGAAGAAGATATTGTCTGGTAAGGACAAAGACCTCAGGAAATCAGAAACAATCTATCCATTGCAAAGGACCTTATATTTTAACTGCAGGAGTGTAAGTGATTGATATGAAAGGAAAATAAAAATTAAAATGTTTTCAAAGAAAAGGGAAAACATTTCATGCATCTTTGGTATTCCTCCTTCATAAGAAAGCTATGAGTTAATAGTACTGTTTTTCAACAAAGATGGATTTTCAAAGATAATGACACTTGTGTGTTGTGGTTTACCACACCCACAATGAAGAAGTATAAAAGTCCAGGCGCAGCTGCTGATATTGATTCTCATCAGAGTCACCTTCGACATCCAACTCAATCCTCGGGCCCTGGCACAATGAGCTTCTACTACGATAACTGCTACGGCGGCCTTGGCTATGGCCTCACTGGTTTCAGAGGACTGGGCTATGGCTATGGCTCCAGTTATGGCCTTGGAGGCTATGGAGGTTATGGCTGTGGCTACTTCAGTCCCTCTTTCTATGGAAGATACTTGTCCTCTGGATTTTACTGAAAACACTGTCCTTCTACAGCGGTCTGTTTCCCTGATCCAGAATTCATCACCTAGATAGCTTATCTTCACACCTGCTATGTTACTGACATGAAGTTTCTTTTTTATCCCTTCTGTGACACTTCTGGGGGTATTTTTCAATAAAATTTATGAACATTTGGAACATTGTTTCATTATTTTTGTCAATGTAAATGCACTTTTTACTCATAAGCTTGGCACGTTTGATTAATATACTGGGTTGGGATATTTTCTCCATACAGTTATTTACACTTCCTTGATTGTGGTCGTGGTTTAGTCGCTAAGTTGTGTCTGATTCTTGTGACCTCATGGACTGTAGCCCACCAGGCTCCTCTGTTCATGAGATTTCCCAAGCAAGAATGCTGAAGTGGGTTGCCATTGCCTTTTGCAGGGGATCTTTTGACCCAGTGATTGAACGCATGCCTCTTGCATCTCATGCCTTGCAGATGAATTCTTTACCACTGAGCCACCACGGAAGCTCCATTTACTTCCTTAGAAATTATCTTACTAACTTTTAGCCAGTAACTTCCATGTGGAAGTGAAAGTTGATCAGTCACGTCTGACTCTTTGCAAGTCCAAGTACAGTCCATGGAATTCTCCAGGCCAGAATACTGGAGTGGGCAGACTTCTGCTTCTCTCTGGAAGGGGATCTTCCCAACCCAGGGATCGAACCCAGGTCTCCTGCATTGTAGGCAGATTCTTTACCAGCTGAGACACAAAGGAAGCCCAGTAAATTCTATACCTCATGTGATAACTTGCTCAGATATTATTCCCTTTTTGATTTGACATTCTACAGAAGCAAAATATTTAGACACAACCTAGTTCTTAAGAAGAGCACTTTTCTTACAAAGTTACTAGTTTAATATACTAATTACTTTATCCTCAGTATACCAGGAAAATAATATTTTTGAGCATATGTACTCTTTAAAACTGCTACTTTTATGAGCTTTGTAAGGGAGAGTTGCCCATGCTTTTTGCTCAGACTTTGTTCAATACACCTACCACCAGGCACTGCCTAGGAACATGACAGTGGTCTACATCGTTTAAGTCTTCTCCCCGTCTCATCCCTTGTACCCAAACGTATACACACTGCCCACTCCAGAAGCTTCAGCTGGGCTATATACACTGCTATGTGTCAGATAAGCAGCTAGTGGGAAGCTGCTCTGTAATTACAGGGAGCTCAGGATGTGCGCAGTGATGTCCTGGAAGGGGAGTTCATGAGGGATGGGATATATGTATGCTTATGGCTGGTTCATGTTGTGTGGCAGAAACCAGTACAACGCTGTAAAGAAAGCACCCTCCAATTGTAAATAAATTAAACAAACAAGCAAAAAACAACAACAAAACACCCAGAGTCTGGGGTTTTCTTTTTCTATGTTCAGACTTTAGTCATTATTTTAACACTTTAATATGCAACTAATGTTTCAAGTTTTACACTACATTTTTTATAAACTAAAAAATAATTGAGGCTTGAAACAATGTTTCTATACTTTTTCTAACTCAGGTTGAGTAGTGGAATCTGTTCCTCATTTAAATCTTGAGAAAAATTTTACTATAGATGTGTGTGTGTGGTGGGGGGGAGGGGCTTCCTTCAAACCTAAGACTGAATTATTAATTTTTATCTTATATTCTCATATTTAAGGTCTTGAGATCCCTAGTCTTTAAATTTTACATGATACAATTCCCAATATAGCTCTCATTTAATTAGATAAGTTGCACATATTTTCTCAGATTTCCAGTGAATCATATGAATATACTTCAGTAATGTGTGCATAAACTAACAGTTGTGCTGACTTTTATGATTTAGTGACTGGAGGAATGATTTGGAGGATGAATTTCATTGATTCAAGCTAGAAATAAGAATCTTCAATTCCATCATTAGCTGTCACTTACACAGCACTAAATTCAACCTAACAGGAAGTTTTAATTAATGGGGCTTAAATTCCAGGAAATTAATAATAATTTAAAAATCACACACCCAATACTTTGTTTTAAAGAGAGCATCTTTGCATCTACAAGGCATATGTTGAAATATTTATGGACCCCCAAAGCAAGGCATCTCAAAATGATGCATCAGTGAAAGAAGCACGTGAGGCTCAGTTTGAAATACAATTGACCTTGACTTGATAATTCATTAAAGTAAATGAATGATTGGTGGGAATTGTCTATATTGTATTACTATACTTCTGTATTTAAATTTCTGTCCATCACCATAATTTCAGAAGGCTTAGTGCCAAGGAAATGATGTTTTCAAATTGTGGTGAGGGAGAGGACTCTCGAGAGTCCCTTAGATAGCAAGGAGATTCAATCAGCCAACCTAAAGGAAATCGACCCTCAATATTCATTGGAAGGACTGATGCTGAAGTTTCAGTATTTTGGCCACCTGATGTGAAGAGCCAATTCATTGGAAAATACCCTGATACTGGGAAAGATTGAGGGCAGGCGGAGAAAAGGGTGACAGAGAAGGAGATGGTTGGATAGCATCATTGACTCAATGGACATGAATCTGAGCAAATTCTGGGCTACAGGGAAATGGAGAAGCCTGACGTGCTGTAGTCCATGGGGTCACAAAGAATCAGACTCAACCTAGCAACTGAACAACAATAATAAATAATTTCAGAAACAAATTTTATGAGAAGACTCTAAGACTAAAATGGTATTTTAAATAAATTAAAGAAACGTAGAGTTAAAGAAGAAAACAGCATGTTCACTGTCATGGAGAAAGAGAAGAAAAGCATTTCCCATAGCATAAAGAAGGAATTGGAGCTTCAGGGTCTTTGCTGGATTATTAAAGTGAATAAGATATGTGGACATCTTTAAATAATTAAAATAATTTTATTTCATATTGCCACAAATTTAAAAATTACTGACAGAAAAAAAATGTTTAAAAGAAAGTATTTGAAATTCAGATAAAGTATTGTGATCTTGGCACAATTTTCAAGAAGGCCCAACTCAAACACTGTCCTATATATAGGTTTTGCCATAGAAAGGAAAGAAGTTTGAGGAACTACATTTCAAGATGTCGTGCAGACATCATATGACAGATGATTAAAAAAAGAGGACTGCAAGGTGAGTTCACGTTTCCAAGGTTGGAGACCTGAATACAGTTGCTGCTCACGATCTTATGAACAGAGGAGTAGATACACATATGAGTAAAAAAAAAGAAAAAAGAAGCTTTGATCTCAGAATATTTGCATTGTTTGCCAAATGAAAATACCTTGTTGATACAATGGAATGATTGATGTTTTCATCTAATTATATTTTTGTATGATTTAGCTTATAAATTATTTGTAATTTCAAAGAAGTACCTCAAAATATACTTTGTGCAGAGCAGATAATTGCATCTCAAATTCTGAGTAAAGGAGTCAAAATGACTTTTAAAATTTGATTTTAGCACCAAAATATTTATTTTTTTCAGAGTTTTTCTTTTATTATTACCATTAGGTTACCTTGATGTGTTCTCATTCTCAGATAGTATTTACAAAATATATTTCCGCCCCCATTGGTTGTTGACTGACTAAAATTCCAAGGAAATGGATTTCATCCTAATTACTTAAACCATGTATTTTAGATAAAGATATTGAGATATCTTAGAGCCTGATACAAAAACTAAACAAAAGTTATTTGTTTAATTTGATAAGGTTAACTTAAAGGGGGCAGCATATTATATTTAAATAAGCAACGATAATAACTGTGGCTTGTGAGTTTCATATTTGTCTCTAAAGTGAAGTCTCTCAGTTGTGTCCGCCTCTTTACGACCCCATGGACTATAGCCCACCAGGCTCCTCTGTCCATGGGACGTTCCAGGCAAGAGTATTGGAGTGGGTTGGCATTTCCTTCTCCAGGGGATCTTCCTGACCCAGGGCTTGAACCCGGGTCTCCCGTATTGCAGAGACTTTACCATCTGAGCCCCCAGGGAAGCCCTTTGTCTCTAAGCATCTGCTTAAATATGACTGTTTTTTAATAATATCTCTTATGCTCATCCTTTCTAGTCCCTTTTGCTTGTTTCATACCTTTCATACCTTTTTGATAGATATTGTGAGAGCTTCTTAAGTAGTCCTCTTGCTTTCAAGAATTCATCATACAATCTACATTTCAGAGAAATTATATATTCTAAAACATCACTTCTCTGAGCCCATAGCCCTGAACAAAACTATAGAATATAATGTATGGTCTTCCCTGCAGGTAACTGAATATGCTTCCCAACCATCAATTATTTTTTATTTAAACTCTGCTCTCCAACCACAATGTTTTGCTCACTGAGGACACACTTTACCTTTGCTTACCATTGTACCTGATCATAAGCTAAGACCATTTTCCTTGTTGGAAACTCCTTCTCTCTTCTCACTCTTAGAATTCTTACACACATCCTCTTAGATGTAGCTCATTTTATATTTCTACAAAATTCATACTTGCATGACATTGCAGCCACCTTAACAGTTAATTCCTGTAAATATCCTTGAAATCAGTGTAACTACCCATCATTTTATTCCTCCATATACCTCTTTATGGTATTTATAAGGGAAAGCACACATATATCTTCATTCACTTCACCAAAGAACACATACACATACGTGCAACCAGGTTTTTCCCAGGTGGTGCTAGTGGTAAAGCATCTACCTGTTAGTGCAGGAGATACAAGGATGCAGGTTTGATCCATGGATTGGGAAGATCCCATGGAGGAGGGATTGGCAGTCCACTCCAGTATCCTTGCCAGGAAAACTCCATGGCTAGAGGAGCCTGACATGCTACAGTCCACGGGGTCACAAAGCATTGGATATGGCTGTGGGACTGTCAGTCCCAAACAGTCCAACAGACATCCAACATAAAGAGGCAATCACATACATGATTGCAAGTACAATTAAGTTGTGAGATTTAAAGCTCATCGAGCTGTCATGTATATATTTAATTTAACATCTATCACCTCCCTGTCCAAAGGCCTATTATTGTTTCTGTCTCATTTTTGTCATTGCTTAGTCCTTTGTTTAGTCACTAAGTCATGCCTGACTCTTTGGGACCCCATGGACTGTAGCTCCCCAGGTTCCTCTCTCAGTTGAATTTCCCAGGCAAGAATACTGGACTGGGTTGCCAGTTCCTTCTCCAGGGGACCTTCCTGATCCAGGGACTGAACCTGTATCTGTTGCATTGAAGATGGACTCTTTACCACTAAGCCACCTGGGGAGCCCTTCTTTCTCATAATAAAATCAAATATGATTTTACTGAATATATTTAGTTGTGATTCTTTTTTCAATTTGAAATACAAAGTAAGCCTTCATATAAATGCTTCTCTATTTATGGAAAGTTCATACAATATGAGTTGGCATTTTAGGAAAAAATTTAAAGAATCAACAGATACGTATTTTTTTCCTTTTATGAGGTATTGTGTTAGGTGTCAGGTCATACCCGTGAAGTGCTTATAAAGCAGTTCTAGTAACCAGTTGAAAAATGGAAATTTATAAGAGACAGTGTCAAGGTAAAAGAATAGATTTGTGTTTGTAGGTGTTTGTGAACTAGAAGTGTTGAAGGAAGCTAGGAGGAAAGGGAATTACTTTAGAATGAGAAAGGATGTCTGACAAAAAGCTTAGAGTGGGGGGATATATGTATACATGTGGCTGATTCACTTTGCTGAACTGCAGAAACTAACAAACATCATAAAGCAACTATAATAAAAAAATAGAAAGAAAGAAAAACAAGCTTAAAGTAAGAAAGGCAATTGAAGTTTCAGGAGACAATCTGAGAGGGCTCATCTAGGTAGATTGGAGGTTTATTGTCAGTTGTAGTGGCAAGAAACTGGAGAAAGTAGGCTTAAATTATTTTATAACAGGACTTGAAAATTATCTTTTTAGGTATGAAAGTGCTTAGGTGGTGCTAATGGTAAAGAACACAGTTGCTAATGCTGGAGATGTAAGAGATGTGGCTTCCATCCCTGGGTTGGGAAGATCCTCTGGAGGACGACATGGCAACCCACTCCAGTATTCTTGCCTGGAATGGACCAAGGAGCTTAGCGGGCTACAGCCCATAGGATCTCAAAGTTGGACACGACTGAAACAACTTAGCATAGCACAGAAGATTATCATACAAGTATGCAACAAAAAGGAAAGTCACATACTTGTGCATATCTCCTTTCTAAAAATAGGTGTTCTTAATCATTTATGAATTATTTAACATTTTTACCCTTTTTAAAAATCATAAATAGTTAAGAAAACCATCATTGACGAGAACATGTCTGAAGCAAGATGGAGATAGCATTGACCAAGATCAAAAGTTGTCTAAAATCAGGGACCCTGATCATTGTGATGTAAAGTATATAAATATGTAAAACCATAAGCTTTGAAAACATGAAAATAATGATTAACCTACAGCTTGTTTCTGAAGAATGAGCATTCAATTCAAAGGAAAAACATATTTGTGCATCTCTGGAATTATCTTTCATAAAGAAAGGTATGGCTTAATAGTTTTGTTTTTCACTGAACACAGGTTTTCAAAGAGAATAACACTTGTGTGTTGTGGTTTACCACACCCACATGGAGGGAGTATAAAAGTCCGGGTGTAACTGGTGATATTCATTCTCAGGAAAGTCACCTTCAATACCCAGCCGAATCCTCAAGCCCTGACCCAATGAGCTTCTACTACGGCAACTACTACGGCGGCCTTGGCTATGGCCTCGGTGGTTTCAGAGGCTTGGGCTATGGCTATGGCTCCAGTTATGGCCTGGGAGGCTATGGAGGTTATGGCTGTGGCTACTTCCATCCCTCTTTCTATGGAAGATATTTGTCCTCTGGATTTTTCTAAAAATGTTTTCCAGTTACTCACCAACTATTTTCTTAATACTTTTAAAAATAGATTAATTCTACTATTTGCTTCAAAATGAGCACTGAAATTTTTGAGAAGCCATTGAAGAAGCTATTGGAACACAGACTGACACCTTGAGTCAATGGAGATGTATGAATCTGGACCAGAGTTTGATCACTCAAGTCAGACATTCGCATTCCAGGAGCATTCCTGACATGTAGCTTCTTTCCTAATTTATCCTGTGATAATTTTGGCATAGTTTCTAATAAACATTCTTCCTAAGCATAAAAACTTGGGTGTATTTCTTTTCATTCATTTTGATGTAATTGAGTGGAACATATGTAAAACCATGGCTGATTCATGTCAATGTATGGCAAAAACCAGTACAATATGGTAAAGTAATTAGCCCCCAGCTAATAAAAATAAATGAAAAAAAAACAAAAAACCCACCCCACTCCATTATATATATGGACCACATCTTCTTAAAAAAAAATCAAGTGTTGTAATATCTTAATAATGTTTTTATATCAAAATTTTTTTCCAATGGAATTATTTCCTTCCTACTATGTTCCCTAGTTCATTACACTCACTGATGCTTTCAGATGATAATTCCTTCCACAGGAATGTAAAGGCTCCTGGGATACAGGTTTGGTTCATGTTTCCATTTGATTGGAAATCCCACAGAGCCAAATTGTTTTAGACATGTGAATCCCAATGGATATACATCATCCCCCAAAATTCAAAGAGCCATGTTTTATTTTCAGTATCATTATACACCTTACTAAGAATCTTGAGTGCTGTAAGGTGTGGGATCCCCTTCTTGGTGACAACAGATATTGTTAAATTACTAAACTGTGCAAAAACCAGGCAAACAGGAACAATTGCTCTGTCTTCAGGGTACTTTGATGCAGTGTTTTCTTAGAGGTCAAAGGCTTTATGGTATATTGAACAACACACACCACCTCTATTGTGTCAGAATAATTCTTAAGGCTTTTCAGATGTTCAGTTACTGCTGTGTGTGCCGGTCGCTTAGTCACTCATCCGAGTCCGACTCTCTGCGACCCCACGGACCGTAGCCCGCCAGGCTCCTTTGTCCGCGAGGATTCTCTAGGCAAGAACACTGGAGTGGGTTGCCATGCCTTCCTCCAGAGGATCTTTACAACCCAGGGATTGAACCCAGGTCTCTGGCATTGCAGGTGGATTCTTTCCCAGCTGAGGTACCAGGGAAGCCCACTGAATGGATACTACTTTCTCCTTTTATAACATTTGACAGGGATTGCCTCCCAGATCGTGCTCTCAGTCTTGTGCCTTCAGTCGTGAGGGGCTCTGAGCGTCTGCTTCACATCTGACTTCGTTCTCTCTTCTTAGCCTTTGATCCCGGTCAGTGCTGCTCCTGACCTACCATCCACTCAGTCTGTGAGCTGCTTTTGTTTCCGTATTCGATAATCTGTTCTCTCAAGTAATTCAGCGATGATTTTAAGGAAGAAATTTAGTGTGTCTGTAATGATCCTTTTTGATAACTTAGAGAAGTTATGCATGATCACAGGAATGATACTCACCAATTCCATAGAGTATTGAAGTTTTTCAGCCAATTCAGAAGTAAGCATTTATGTAGCATTGCAGTAGAATCTAAAACGTGACCCTGCCAATGAAAATTTGTTTTACCAGTAAGTAAGAAAGATAAAAATGCAACTATAATTGCTTCCATTATTTTAATATATCCTTATGTTCTGTATGTTTCCATGTTATACACAGACACACACACACACACATACACCCTTGCTAAAATGAGATGATATCTGGATTTTTTTCAAAATTATAAAAACAAGGCATTAGGATATATATATGTATTTATATATATATGGATTATAGGATATATTAGGACATTAGGACATATATAGGACATTAGGATGGATATATATATATCTCCATAGGATATATATATCCTATATATAAAAAAAGATAATTGGCAATGAATTGATTACAGTTATTAACGAATGACATTCATCTATGAGTTCATTATATTATCAATGTCTGCACTTCTCCATGCAAAAGTATAGAAACATTTTGCCACAAGTAAAAGTTCTATCATGGAAAAACAGTACATGACTTAAAGAACCTGGATACATAGATCACATCAAACTAAATAATCAGAGGAGAAAACAGTTTACCTGACAAAAAGGTTAAGACTATCTCATGCTAATTGATCAAATACATGATAAATGCCACAGTAGACTATGCATTCTGAACGTGTAAATGAATATATTGTTAAAATTTTCTTAAGTTTAAAATTAAAGAAAAACTAAAACTCAATAGTTGATATTGGAATATAGCATATGGAAAGTTTCAACTTGATAAGTAAGTGTTCCCTAATCAGATATATTTAAAGATTTCTAGGAATGCAGTTTTGTGACTGAAATACAAAGAAATGAGTTTTAAAGTAAAAAACATATTTTAAAATAAACTTAGCCAAGAAGGTAAAATACTTGTATACTCAAATCTACAAAACATGGATGAAAAAATTAAAGGAGACACAAACGTGTTGATAAGTTGCCTTAATGGATTGGAAAAATGTAATATTTTAATATATCCATACTAGCCAAAGTGATCTAGAGATTAAATGAAATCCTTATCAAAAATCAATATTGTTTTTACAAAAAAAAAAGAACTTTTATGATTCATATGGAAATATAAAAGACCACAAATATACAAATTTTCCTGGTCTTTACAAGCAATTCGTCTTGCCATCAAATAATTATTCCAAAAAAGTCATTTTGTTGTGGTAATGCCTTGCATAAACCTTAGAATATTTGACTATTGATAAACAACAGGGAATATACAAAGATCCTTATGGATCTGGCAACAGCATGCTTCTTGATCTTCAGTTACTCTTGGCAGAAATTTTCTGTCTTGCTTACATGCAGTTCTTGCTTAGTCTTTCAGTACTGGTTAAACCTTTGCCTCTTGAGGACATCCCTTCTTCCCTTCCCTATTAAATTCTTATAAATTATTTGTGATGCAGCCTGAATTAAACCTTTTCCAAAGCTTCTTTTATAGCACAATACAGCCCACTATAGATTTTCTTTCTCTAAAAAAAAAAAAAAAACCTTTTCAAGTAATTTTAACTTCCTCTAATTTTGTGCTTCTATATATTTAGGTTTGTACCTGCATGCAACACATACACATGTAGAAACACACATACATATGCACACACATGCACACACATGCATGCATGCTTACACCTCTCGGGACTCTAATTCAAGGGTAAGCTTTCTAGGACCATGAAGTCTCATTTATTTTTTTCTCACTTATCATCTTCCTGTCTAAAAGTATAGTAAATTACCTTTTATATGATAGGGGCTCAGTGATACAAAAAGAGAGTAATTCAATAGATGACTGTGGTGTGGAATATTGAAAGACTGTAAGAAGAATATATTCCATTGGAGTAGGAAGTGTAGGAATGATTAGCTGAAAGGTGTAAGAACAAGCTTTGAATACAGATACAAATTGAAGCTTTAGAAACAATAGGATAATTCTTCTATACATGATGGATGCTTCTTGAAGGGTAGTAGTGAAAAGAAAGTTGGACTTGAATATGATTGAATAGAATTTGACCAACACAATATGCTGGAAGTTAGAATATTGCTTCACAGAAAAAGGAAACAGAAGGATGGGCAAATATTTGTTGTTTTCTCTGAATAAATTATCTCCCCTGTTTTAAAATTATATAATTATGCATGGTAATTTTTAAAATTTGCATGCTAGTTTATTGAATTTAAGAAAGAAAGGAAACATGATATTTGGCACATATTGAAACTCTATTTTAGACAGAGTAAAGGAAATATTTGACAAATTTAAATTCTCAGACATAAATGAGCTGCCTGATGCAAGGGATTTCAGGATGATGTTTTAAATGTAGAAATAGGTGTAGTCATCAGCTTTTAATGTAAAGCCTGTTTTTCTATATAAATACTGAGTCTTAGACACAATAATCAAATAAACTCAAGGGAAAAATTGACTTCAATCATGTTTGAAGCTACCTTTAATAATAAAGTTACAGCCAATTGATATTGTTTTTAATCAGGTATTTATTTAGTTCAGTCAATGAAGCAGATATTTTTTTTTCTGGAATTTATTTGCTTTCTCTATGATCCAATGAATGATGGCAACTTGATCTCTGGTTTTGCTGCCTTTTCTAAACCCAACTTGTACATCTGGAAGTTCTTGGTTCATATACTGCTGAACTTAGCTTGAGGAATTTTGAGCATAAGTTTACTAGTATGTGAAATGAGTGAGACTTCATGGTAGCTCGAACATTTTTGGCACTGCCTTTCTTTGGGATTGGAATGAAAACTGGCCTTTTCCAGACCTGTGGCCACCACTAAGTTCCAAATTTGCTGACATATTGAGTGCAGCATTTTAACAGCATCATCTTTTAGGATTTGAAACAGCTCAGCTGGAATTCGATCACTTCCACTAGCTTTGTTCATAATAATGCTTCCTAAGGCCCACTTGCCTTCACACTCCAGGATGTGTGGCTCTAGGTGAGTGATCACACCAGTGTGGTTATCTGGGTCATTAAGATCTTTCTAGTATAGTTTTTCTATATATTCCTGCCACCTCTTCTTAATATCTTCTGCTTCTGTTAGGTCTTTACACTTTCTGTCCTTTACTGTGCCCATCTTTGCTTGAAATGTTCCCTTGATATTTCCAATTTTTTTAAAAGATATCTCTAGTCTTTTCCATTCTCTTATTTTCCCCTATTTCTTTGCATTGCTCATTTAAGAGGGCCTTTTAATCTCTCTTTGCTATTCTTTGGAACTCTGCATCCAGTTGAGTACATCAGTAGAACTTGCTGATCTCCTAGGACCTTAGAAGCTATGCACAGTCATGTGTTTATGTGCACGGTCTTCTGCATCGTCTCATATTTGACTTATCTTTGGT